CCTTAGAAGAACTCACGGAGCTGCTTTGGAAGAGCTGGGCGCACCTTTGGGAGTCAAGCACCCTGAGATCCTCTCCTTCATCAGGGAAGTGTGATGCAAGGAGCAGAGGGTCCTGGTGCTTTCGCATCAGGGACATACTGTTGCAAAAAGGCACTTTGGGGCAGCGTCAGTCTCTGTAGTGCTTAGCATGTGCCGATGAGACGTGATTTTTCTCTTGCTGAGAAGGTGTTGTAGCAGTCAGCAGCAGAACAGGCAAAGCTCAGGGGTTTATCTGCTCGTCTTCCTTAGAGAACGAAAGGAACGCAGCTGTGTAGAATAAATTTGGGAACCAGAACTTTTAAAACTGAGTCACTTTTTAAAGAGTGCTTGACATTGTTTCTAAATACAAGAAAAGCCCCGAAAACAAATAGATTTTCAGATGTCCACATCTCTCTCAGAGGTTGAAAGGAAAGCAGAGCTAACTTCCAGCAAAAGCCAGCTGAACGCAGCTGGGCTTGGCATGCAGAAACCTCGCTCTCTCTCCGAGGAAGGGCCTGGTTTGCCAGGCCTGTGGCCGGGGCTGTCGTGTTCATAGACCATTGTGGCACCTTCTGAAAGCGGCTCCCACGGACAGTGGCGTTTCCAGCCTAAGAAGGCTACAAAGAGCTTTTTCTCTGTGCTGCAGCCCTGAAGCCTGCAGAGCAGGGTTTCCTGAGGATGAGCTCTGTGCTCGCTGGAGGGCTTGCAGTGTCTCCTGTGTGAAAAAGCAGCTGTTCATAGACAGGTTTCCTGGATTCTGTCGCCCTGCCCTATCCGTTTTGACTTTTTCCAGGCATTTCCTTTAAGTAAAAGAGTTTTGTGGTAGCGTTGTGCAGGTCAGAATGGATAAATTCCCCTAAACTGCTCTTTTTAGGGTATTTTTAGAGGTCTGGAGTCAACTTGAATGGAAAAATAATATACCCCCAATCTTAATTAAGTAATCTTGAAGTAATTATGTCAATATTTTTTTGGGGGGGTAATATTTTCTGGAGATTTTCTGAATTTTCTCCTTTATGTATTGCACTCTGGGCTTTGTAGGTCACCTGCCACATCTTGAGACCTCCTTGTGTATGCGTTGGCCAATTGTTCTGAAAAAGTATGGTAAAAAAAGATATGGTTTTGCTTTGAGATGTGTCCGTGATGCTTCTGTGATTTATTTTATGTATATTTTAGTTTGTGTACCTACAGTCTAAAAAAATAGACAAAAGTATAGCATGTTGGTGAAAGGTCACAGAATGTCAGGGGCTGGAAGGAACCTCAAAACCTCATCTAGTCCAACCCCTCTGCTGGAGCAGGATCACCTACAGTAGGTCCCACAGGAACGCGTCCAGGCAGGTTTTGAAAGTCTCCAGAGAAGGAGACTCCACACCCTCTCTGGGCAGCCTGGGCCAGGGCTCTGTCACCCTCACTGTGAAAAAGTTTTTTCTAATATTTTTGTGGAACCTCCTATGTTCCAACTTGTACCCGTTGCCTCTTGTCCTGTCATTGGACGCCACTGAAAAGAGCCTGACTCCGTCCTCCTGACACTCCCCCTTGACGTATTTATCAGTGATGCCTGTTGAAATGTGGGCAGATTTAAGTGCAGCGTAGCACATGGTTGGAGTTTCCTGAAGAGCCTGGAAATACCACCACCCTGTGTCATGCTACATTCGTTCTGTAAATACCCGAAGGCAAATATTTTGCTGGCTTAAGCAGAAGAGAGATACTGTCTGTGCTGTCCCTCATCCCTGTTGTAGATGGAATCTCACGCCGCTGGGCTTTCTGCAGCCGCGATTCGCTGCTGTTTGCCTTCGCAAGGCACAACAGGCGGGATGCTCGTGGGGCGCTCTGTTGATGCTGTTGGGCGTTTGGGTGGTGCCTGCCGGCCCCGCGGGGATGTAGCTGGGCTAGAGGGACAGGGGAAGCCTGATGGGAGCAGGGTAGGAGGTGGAGGAGTTGTGAGAGATGTGAGAAAGCAGGTTTGCTCAGCCAGTTAGAAAGAGGGGAATTTACTTGTGGCTGCTGGGGAAGGGCTGGTAGGCAGCTGAATCCTAAGGGGGATTCTTGGCTTGTAGTTTAGAACCCGGCATAACATGTGAAAAGCATCTTTAAAGACTGCTGGGAACTGCGCTTGGAAGGCCACACTTGTGCAGGGAGGAAGGGTGGGAGGGCTGGGGTGTGGGTTTCTTTTTTGCGTAAACACGGCTGGGGAGGGCCCCCGGCTGCGCCTGCGAGCAGGGTCAGGGCTCCTGCTCCTTCAAGAGCGCTGCCGGTGGAAATGAGTTTGTTCCTGTACGAACGACGTCAAGACAGTGGCTGCAGCAGAACGAACTGAAGTAGCTAAAACTCTGTCCTTGAAAAGGTCCAGATGAAGTGATCTTCTGCACCGAGTAGGCTGAGCAGAGGTTTGCAGGAGGCGGGAGCTGCTCTCGTCCCACCGGATGCAGCGCACACGGTAAAACTCAGTAATTCAGCGTCCAGTCTTTCTCATTGCATCTGATTTTTACAATTATTGGAGAAGCCCAAGAGGCAAACAGATGTGTGCCAGTGCACTTGCACGTCAACGTCATCTGTGCCAGTACGGGCTGTGGCTGAGCCGTAGCGTAGCCACAGGCTTCCTATTCCTGCTCCTTGGCCTCCCTTTCTTCTCTGAGCTGCTCTCACTTGCTGTAGCAGGTGTGAAGTCGAGCGTGGCTGCTCCTGGCTGCCTCCAGCTGCGTGCATTTGTGTATCAGGTCTCACCAAGCCCCGCTCACGATTCAGGACTCGTGTAATAGAAATTATGAGAGTTGAGGCCATTCATCTACTCTGGCTGTGGGCAGAGAACAAAAAGGGTATCGAAGTGGCACTGAAGTGAAATGGCACCGAATGTTCTGCATCACTGTTTTATGTTTACAGAGCAGAGAGGAAACAAATAACAAAAATGGGAACAATAGCGTATGTTAGCACACTTAGGACTCCATTTAGCCTTCTTCACTTGTCGATATTTTTGTGGTTCATCTAGGTTTTAAAGAAAGGAGGGAAAATTCTCCTGGCTCTCTACCCTTGTTTGAGGAAGAGGACGGGCAGTGCTTTGTGGCTGGCTCTGCCGTATTGCTGTGGATGGGTGAATAGCTCTGCATTTTGCTTGTCACCTGACGAGCCTTTTTATATTTAGATCAGGAGAGAAAGCATGCCATTCTGAAAGCTGCATTTTCACTAGTGAAAAGACTAGACCACATGTGCTGAGTTACTAGAACGAGATATTAAATGTTTGCTCTTATTTTTCCTGTGACTTACTATAGGCCTGCTATGTCAAACATGCATTCCTTGAGAGCAAGGCACCCAAAGGAGGGGTCTTTCAGTATCTGAGGAGACTTCTTCAGTACCAGCCAGCACAGCAGGTCTCTTTGAAGGAGACAGAAGTCAGGAAAATCCCATTTCTTTGGGTCTCAGCTGAACACCGTGCCTTGATGCTGGGCAAGGCATTAACTCACGGGTGGCAAATGCCATCCATAAAGCTGGGTTTATTGTTGTGGGTTTGTTTTCAGCTGAGCTGATGCTGTTGAGAACAGTGTGGAAAGCTCAAGCTGGTACACGAGGGAACATGACTATCCACTTCTACCTTCTCAGCACCCTGAGCAATTAAACACAAAAGCCTTTGTTCCCTGGTGACTTCATTCTTAAGAGACCTTTTTTAATTCTAGTCCTTCGTTTTGAGGAAGAAATGATGGGAATTTGTCATTGACAAGAAAGCTGCATCTCTCAAATGTCATGTGGAGGATCCACTCCATAATTCATGGGTTGGGGTGTGTGGGTGTCAGAAGGAGGATGCATAATGGATATGAGAGATTTCAGTTCAATTAAACTACTGGTCTTAAAGGCAGCTTTTCTTGCCTTCATGATATTTTGTTGACCCAGATCGCCACACTTTTTGCAAACTCATCCAGATATCCAGATATTTTTAGATTTTCGTAAGAGTGTGGTGGGTTATTGGTTATTTTTATGCAGCTTATTCCCCTTCCAAAGCGCACGGGGACTTGCACAGTAATAGCGGAGCAGTGCTGATTGATCTTTCTTGTCACTGCAGCACCTGTAAGCCATGCATTTCTGTGTGTGGAAATGCTGATATTTCTTATCAATCCTTCTCTGCCCACGGATTTTGTGAGTTTTGCTTGTTGTGTGACGAGATGTGTTGTTGCTGTTGGTGTGCTGAGAAAGGGACCTTCTCCTTCCTTTGCGGTGAGAGCAAGTCTGACTCGGGCTGTGGAGGGTCTGAATGCAGATGTGGACTGTTGGCTTCCTAGTTGCTGGAACCCTGTGGCAGACTCAGACCTATCAAAAGGGACTGCTGGGGCCACCTCCTTGCAGTCAGCCACTGCCTCCTGGGTTTGTCTGTGTTCCTGTCCTTGGCAGAGTAAATCAACTGCCTGACCCTGTCTGAACTAAGGAGCACTTGTATGATTTTCCTCCTGCATCAAGCTGAAGGCGTTAGGAGCTGAGCAGCAGCAACGGGGTTAGCGTCGGCGATTGCACCACGGAACTAACCTCCTGCAGCGGAGATGCAGCCTTTGTTTCAGCATTTCTTCTGGTGTTTCTTTCTTGTAGCGTGTGTTTGTGTGCAGATGGAGGAAGCTCCTCTGTTCTGTCGGTGATCAAATTCCCGCTGTCTGAGAGCTGCGTGAGGCACATCTGTATCCAGTGCTGGGGCTGAGCTCTGCTTCAGGAGCCGTCGGCTGTGAGGGAGGCAGGAGTAAGCAAATACTTGTTAGTTGTGGAGTCATCTCTTTCCAGTGGAGCTTGCTAGTACAGTTTACAAAAGCTGTGAGATTTAAAAATAAACTTAAAAAATGAACTCGCTGACACAGAGCAGGAGCTTTGGGTGCGATTGTGTCTGTGTGTACGTCCGCAGGAAGTGAGTTGTATTCCTACAAAATCATCAGCTGAAGAATTTGTGACTTTTATGACTCTTTTGGGCTAAGTCAGGTCTCTCCCTCTCTCTAGGCTTTTCTCAGGTGTCAGGAATGTCTTCTGAGCCCACTTCAACTGCCTCGCAGCAGTCCCCTGCCTCTCCATCCTCACCCAGTTCTCTCCATCTGCCTGAAAACCGCAGGGCAAGAGATCGCTCCCCGTCGCCCATGAGGGGGTACCTCATCCCCAGTCCGCTGCCCACCCGACGGACCAGGACGTTTTCAGCGTGAGTACCGGGAAACCTGCCTTGCAGGGACACAGCCAAGCGGTTGTCTCTGTGCAGGATGACCTGCCTCAGTCTTGCAATTACTTTTCTGGCAGTGCTGAATGAAACACTGTGATAATAAGATCCCAAATCCACGGCTAGCATATTTTGTGCCGGTTCATCTCGTTGGCATGCTTGTTCCTTCTTTCTTCTTGCCGTGTTACCCAGCTCTTTTCTTCAAGACTTATCTGTGAGGATTTAAATAGAATCAGTCTCAATGATGCTTCGTATTATTACTTCTATATTCAAAATGAAGTGAAAAGAACAGCAGCAGCAGATGAAAAATTTTTGTTGTCGGTTCCAAAAGCCTTCAAATGTCCCAAACTTTGTAATGGAAGTAGATTGCTAAAAGGAACATAATTGACTTGATAATTGGGATTGCCCTTGAAAAGCAATTCCAAGCTAGCTTGCCTCGGTGCTGTGCTAATAATGAACTCTTTGTAGTTCTTCTCAGCTGTTAATTCTAGTCTGGTTCTTACAAAACTAAAGAATTTGTTATTTGGCTTCCACAGTTCTTTAGTCATTAATTAGTGTAGGAATCTTGCTGTATTTGTTTGCCCTGAAAATCATTATAGCTCTGAATTTTTATTATTTTTTTTCAGTCTCCTCTTTAATCAAGAGGAACTCTAGGTGAGCTCTGGCCCCACAGTTGTCTATAAAAGATGAACGTGACAGGCAGTGGTTTATTATTCAGTGGGATGATTTAATTTTGCTTCATTGCAAGTGTGGGGCCCCACAGTCTGTCTCCTTGGACGATGCAATTGAGCTTTAATGGCTTATTTAGGGCAGTGAGTGCTTTTCTGTGTAATGAGCAATTGTGGGGTCAGGTGCATCCACGGCTTTACAGAGCTGGAAATGAAGTGATTTAATGGACATTTCTTTAACACTTTCAACTGTATTTCTTTAGCGTTAGTTTGACTAAAGGAACAGAGCAGTTACCACGGTTTTTTTTTAGTGATTCTGTTTAGGCTTCGGTAAACTTGAAACATTTGGGAAGGTGATGTCAGAATTGCCACATTGTATGTAACCGAAGGGCAACACAGTCTTTGCTGAGTTTGAAAAGTCACACCAAAATCGTCTTCGAACACAGAAGCAATCTACTGAATAGTCGTGACACGAGAAGGCCCTGATCTAGTAACTCTTGCATGTAAACCCTGTGAGGTGTCTCAACCAGTTGGCTTTATTCATGAAAGTATTTGAGTCACTTTGGATCCCTGGAGATTCAACTCAGCATATTTGATGGGGAAGAGGATTTAGTCACACGATTTTCAGGATGGGTTATAGTTCATGCAAGATATGTTTCCTGATGGGGGTAAGACATCCTAAAGGTTTGTCTTCAATTCTATCTCGCTCTAATGCACAGGTCCCATGAGAGTGGAGAAGGAGTCAGGCTTGAGTCTTGCTGTTACTCCTTCCAGATAGGCTTTGTAGCCTGCTGGAGTCGAATGCAGCTGAAATATTGACTGAACTGGATCCTAGTCTGGCAGAATGACAACAGACATACAGAGGAGTGTGCGTATGTTTATATATATGCTAGCAAGCAGCTTCATCTTTGTTTCCCTTAACAAAGCTACAGGCAAAACAGCTGCAGTGTGTGAAACTGAATGTTAAGCAGTTGCTGCAGGGGTGTGTGCTCGTAGGGGTGAGGGTTTGGACCGTTGTGCCCGTTAGCTTCGCGTGCTTTGGTGGCCGTGCCTGGAAGCTGTCGCATCGGCGCCCGGCAGTGAACTGCCCCTTTGGTGCTTTCTTTGGCAGAACCGTGAGAGCGTCGGAGGGTCCCATCTACAAAGGCGTCTGTAAATGCTTCTGTCGCTCCAAAGGCCACGGCTTCATCACTCCTGCAGATGGAGGGCCTGACATCTTCGTGCACATCTCTGAGTAAGTCGTCTGGGTGCTCTTTGCCCTAATTAAGGAATGTTTTTGACGTTTCAGATACAAGAATGTTTTATAATCTGTCACCCGTACCTCAGCAAAGAGGAGTTATGCAGAGTGTTGCTGGCAGCAAGAGATTATGCTGTTCTTTTCCTGTATTACTATAAATCTGTGGAGTTAAACACTAGAAGATGATCCTGTCACATTTCTTAGAATAAGCTGTGCAGTTACATCCAGACCCGGAAACTTGCCTTTACCTGAAACGAATGATCTATACAGTATCCAGTTTTAATTTAAAGATTTATAGCACTGAAAAGTCACTACTTTTACTTTTTGCTGCTTGTACCATTATTAAACTAAAGGTTAATTACCTTTACTGTTAAGAAAAGTAATACTTTATTACTTGCTTGAATGTATCTGGCTTCAGTTTCAAGCAGTTTATAGCTCAAGTTTTCTCTGTTACAAGATTCATTAGTACCTTCACTTTTTTTGCCTTGAACAACTGAGAACCATCACCTCTGGCTCTACCTTTGGATAAACTAATCAGATTAAGCTTTTAAAGTCCCTCGCTGAGAAATTTTTCTCCAGTCTTTCCAGTCGCTTTTCCAAGTGTGCTGCGGGATTTAAATGTAATTTTAAAACAATACACTGCACACATGCTTTCAGTATATGGAGATAAGATCTCAAGGCTGCTGTTCTGTTTCTCTTTCTGTACATCCCATAAGCACATTAGCCCTCTCGTCCCTAGTCATGTGCTGAGTTCCTTGTCTGCTCTGACCTTGGTGGCTTTTGCAGCGTAACAGTTTGGTGCAGCCCCAGGTACAGGCTGGCATCCCCCCGGAAGTGTTTGCATTCCTTGTTCCCCACGTGTGACTTCCAGTTCCCTGGCCAGGCCCTGCCTGCCCGGGGATCCAGGTCGCACTCTGGGACTGCACCCCAGTGGTTATTTACTGCTTGGTTCATCTGCGAAGATTCGAGAGACCATTTTATGTTTGTTTCTAGATCGAGACGTTGACTTGCGTTGGGGCTGAGGCACGTGTTAAGATGGCTCTATGTTAATTCTCCAATAACCTCTTTTAGCTGTAGTGCCAGTTTTAAGTCTGCATATTGGTGTGGCCACATCTGGAATGTTGTGTCCAGTTCTGGGCCCCTCAGCTCCAGAGGGA